GAGACTACATCAGCAGTATAACATGATCAATGGTTACAACTTTCCAAATCGGTCAAGACAACAGCATGACATTACAGGAATGCCGCATGACCATGGATAACGACCGATGTACTAGGCCGCCGTTTGTTCCGTATTCGCACAAGGTCAGCGTTAGATGTCACTATCCGAATGCCGATTGTCCTCAAGCAGATGCATGGTCTCGTCATCTAAATGCTCGAGAATGTCGGTAGCAATACGTTCATCGAGGAAGCACGCTACCCACTCCAGAATGACGGCATTATCATTGGGGACAGCATCGGACATCGCTTGCAAAAGCAAATTGACTTTATCGGCAGTGAAACGCCATGCAAGCAAAAGATGCTGCTCCAAATGCGCTTTTATGAGGTAAATTGGAAAATCTTCCTGGCGATGCACAATGATTGGCCTGGCCCAGGCTAAAAGGGCATTCTGCTGTGGTCCAGGCGGACGTCTGAACATAGCCAGTAACGCCCCGTACTCCTGGGCAAGCTCGTTCCTCAAATCCTGCGAAAGATCTCGAAGGTGGTGTGCAAGCCAGGCACGATGACCTCCAACAGAGTGCGCGAGTTCGGCCGCAGCAACCATGGCGAGGGTCCGTTGATTAGGACGTCCTTGGGCTGCCGAGGCATCGCGGATTCCTTGCAGTACGAGGAGCTTGGTGAGCGATATCCAGCCAGCACTACAAGTGTGGCCGTGGCCTTCGAGGATGGGCTCGCTGGAAAAGATCTCCGGGTGTTCGTAAGGGTAGCATCTTTCCCAGTCACTGTCGCCATCTCCATTGACAGCAGTGTAAAGGCTGCCACCAATGACCAACGAAGCAGCCATGCCGGGCAGTTAGTTCGGGGAGGGCAAGCGGGCGCCTGCTCCTGTGAGCCCTGGCGGCACAGAACAAGGGGGCAAGTTAGCGGGTAATACCATCACTCCTTTATGTTCGCGGCTGAGAGGGCTATGAGCCACAGGAACAAACTGTCAATCCATGCGGGGGACTAGGGCGTGTGAGTGCGGGCGCACTCACGTACCCAACATCAAATCACTCCCGCACCCTCACAAGATTCTCCGCAGGTAATACTCGGGAGCAAGGGAGCAACCCGAACGGGAGCTCCTGAGCCGCTTCACCGAGCCCCTGCTCGGAAATTGCGGTGAGGGGTCACTGCTCGTCAAACTGAGAAGTAGATGCCTTGAGAAGTTTCCTACACCGCCGTGTGAGTGCGGGCGCACTCACGTGGCATGAGCAACTCAACCGTCCTCCTCCACTTGCCCAGTGACTGGGGTCCTAGCCTGGCTAGAGGAGGGGAAGAGTATAGCATTGTTTCGCATTCGCGCGACACCCAAGTCCATCAATTCCGTAACATGAAGCTGCAATTTGAAATGGGTGCAGTTCACACGCACGACGGGCACAACACGCTGTGTACTGGCGAAGGTTGACGTCGATGTCACAAAACGCCTGCGCGATGCCCAAGCCCCGATGATACCTCCCCAGCGCCGACAAACAGCAGCCACTCTCGCGGTTTCCCTCAGGGATGGGAGGGCAACCCTATAATTCTCGACTCCAGGAGCGACGTGAGGGAGGCGAGTATAACAACAACCCCAATTCGACTGTTGTTGCCGCCAGAGATACACTTGTGGAGGCTCGGAGAGGCCTTCGCGCGGCTCTATAATTAACCACAGGCTCAAGCACACAGTGCACGCATCAAAGAGGATACAACGCAATGCATCCAATGGGCAGTCGTGAAGATGTCTATCGCTGTGCCTGGAGGCGGGCCTACAGTAGGCCGACGTAGGGCTCAATTGCGAGACAATCACAAGCAGCGGAGCAAGACGTTCCATATGGATTTGAGGGCTGGATGCCTCAACCATGTCAGTGATGCCTTCCTGAGGGGCAGGCGGTGGACTACCTCGGATCTACAGAGTTGACCTGAGCCAGCACTGCACAGCACCCATGAAAAAAGTCCCGCCAACACATTCCCTAGAATGCAAAACCGCGAAAGCAGTGTGAAACTGGAGAACGAGACCCTCATGCTTCCAAGGCCAAGCATTAGTGAAGGGGCGGGGTCACTACTGCATTTTCAGAAGTATGTTTGCATTCGGAGCAAAAGCTCGGAGTACTGCCGACGCAGGACTCGCAACTGCCCCTTGTGAGTCGGCCAGGACAAAAGATCGACACTCGAGGTGCCCACTGCGTTCTCTCATCGCTTGCACGCATTTGACCATCAACAGGGACACAGGCCAGCTACAAGAAGCCAAAACAGGGCAAGGTAGGTCATTCCAATCGCTTGGGTTGAGGAGCTGCAGGTGCCAGGACGGCCAGCCAACATTGACGGGTGGATGCGCAGCCCTTACAGCCAGGAGATCATTGTAGGCATCAGTGAACGGTGTGCCCACCGGCCAATCTACCAGGGCACAGCACGGAGGGACAGGTAGGTGACTAAGTTGCGAAACAGCGAAGACCCCAAGGAGATCTGGCTGCAGGCGGTTCGGGCACAAAGCACATAAGGCAGGGAAAAGTTGAGTGGTAAGTTGGAGAGTATCCCCTTCAAGAGCTTCTTGTCGAAAGGGAGCAACGCACCAAACGATTTGAATCATACAACCTTGATGTTGAGTAACGCGCACAAGGGTGAGATTGGCAACAAGGCCAGCATACCTTACCCTACAACGAGAAGCTGCTTCACGGACTGACCAAGGGGCAGGCACGTGACGCTGCAAGGTGGACTGTGTGCGAGGCCATAGACTGCCACAGTGGCCCTCTGCCTGCGGGTGAGGAGAATCCATTTGGGCAGGCCAATGATGCTCATGAGCAAGTCGCCCGCCCAGGAGCTGCCTTGCAGGAGTTTGATTGGCAAAGTCAGCTGTAAACGGTGAACGCAGTCGGAGGAAGCGGAGGCTCGCGAGTGGGAAGTCTCCAACTGCATGGACGTCGTAAGTGCATTCGTCAAGAGGCGTGACTCCAAAGAACGCTCCTCCCCCGTGGGAATCGCAAAGAAGGGCATTCCCCTCAGACCTTCCAAGAGAAGTCGGAACCAGTGCGAATTAACTTATTCCAGTTAATCAGAAATCGCTTGCACAACATACTGGAATATATCTCATTGCTGAAATATATAATCACAATCAGAATGATGCGGACGCTCCTCTTTTTCAACACACATGGGGAAAGTCCACGCTGCCTGCCCATCAAACGGCTGGGCTAGGCAGGAAAATGCAGGGAAATCGGAAAATTACGAAGCCTCAAGGGTGGGTCGGGTGGGACAAAAATTTCCGAAGCCTCACCTGAAGAGGGAAAGGCTGCAGCATGACGGAAATACCCAAGCATGCTCAAGGGAAAGAGACTCACCAACACATGCAAGACTTCGTGAAGATCTGTGGAACTCGTCACTTCCAATTTCAAAATGCAAGCTAATTTTCGTCAGAAAATTTTTCTGATATCAGGAATAAGGTCCCATCCCCTTAGCTTGTGGTTCGTTCGGGGAGGGTTCACTTATTCCAGTTAATCAGAAATCGCTTGCACAACATACTGGAATATATCTCATTGCTGAAATATATAATCACAATCAGAATGATGCGGACGCTCCTCTTTTTCAACACACATGGGGAAAGTCCACGCTGCCTGCCCATCACCCCATGTCAGGATGCAGCGGCTGACACATCCCAAGTGAGGTCTGAACGAAGCTTTGCTTTAGGTATGTTCTCGAATCGCAAGCGACTCGGAGCATCCTTTTCATTCTAACGCGTTCACTGAGTCAGTGATTCGGCGGGCGCAACACACACAGTTGGTGTGGCCATTATGGCGCGCCGGACACCTACCGCCGTCCATGGCGGCGCGGACTATTGCCGCGAAAAGAAAAGTATGTACCAGTTGCGATTTATATGCTGTACATCCCTAGCCGTGGCGTTGAATGGCGTCCTACCATCATCTACCATCTGTAGGGCCGAAGTTGCGGCTCCTTTGTCAAAGGCCTCAGCAATCGTCTCCACCTCAGAAGAAGAACTGCTCTGTGGTTTGAGACAGAAGCATCTATAGTGCCCAGTGTGTGGGGTGTCCCCTGTGTGTACAACACCAGAGATGAGCCGGTATTCGCTCGTGCTGAGTTGTTGGGTATTGCCGTCTTTGAAAAAGGGAACTCTGATGACTGGATTGACGGTGACCGGGCTGCGGACCTTCTTAATACGACCACCCTTTTCCTGAAAACGTAGAAGCTGTATACTGAGTATCACGGGAACGTCAGCCAGTGCGGTCACATATTCCTCGTTGCGAGGTCCCGGCTGTACGCTCCAGGAGTTCAGCGCCAGCTGTGTCGTGGTCTGACCTGTGCATGGCAGAGGGATCAGAGGCACCGCCGTGTTCCAAGCCCGGACTGTGGCCGGCTCCCGTTCACTAACTCCGGAAACCCTGGACTCCCATCTGCCCAGCAAGATCCTAGGGACCCCGTCCTTTGTTAGATGTTGCAGAAGTTCTGCAGCATCATGCTGCTGGTGGAGGTCACGCCAGCCTTGCAGAAGCTGCATGCAGTCCTTTCTCCTGCTTAGTTGCTGGGGCTTGACACATTTGGTCAGCGCATTAAGCATGGGGCGTAGACATCCAAAGCCCGCTTTGTCCGGCGGCCTGACTTGACCAAACAGGTGCAGCAGCGCTTGGATCATGGAGTTGAGGTAGCAAAGGTTGGATGGGTTTTCAAGCACACAATGCTGATGTTGCATAGGGCAAGGTGCATCAGTGACTTTTTCCCCCTGGCCCTCTGCTTTCTCCTGGCTATGGGATTTAGCGTCCGCCCCCTGTGCTGGCTGACCTGTCCCCTTCAGCCACTCCCCTATGCTCCGTGATCTCCTTGAACCAGGACCACTGTCGCTAGGCTTGGTGGGGATGTTGGGGCCGTGAGGCGGCTTCCCGGGGTAAATGTTCTTTGCAAGATCACGGTGCAACACACCCTCAGGCAGACACTCCAAACCCAACTTGCCCTTACTAGTAAAAATGCTTTGGCGAGAAGGCTTCATTGCCTTCTCGTCGCGTCGATGGCCCGCTGTAGGTCCTCTGGAAGTGGCTTGTGGCTTCTTTCCGGGCGGATCCTGGCTCCTATGAGCGCGGTGGCCGCTGTCTCCGTGAGAGCATGGAGTGCCTTGTTGATGTTGGGCCGTGCATCGGCGTCCAGGGAGACTGTCAGCACGAACGTCGTGGCTCCTGGCCTGTCCTCCTTGACTCCGCCTAGAGCATGGAAGCGCTGGATGACGTTGGGCTTGACGGCCTCTCGCATCAGCAGTTGAACTGCCTCCTTTGCATCCTGATGAGAGAGCGGGTTGCCCTCTCTGGGCTCCTGGAGTTTCTTGTCCGGATTCCATCTCGTGTACGACCACGCCATTGGTTCTGCTACGAGCATCTTCCTCTGAATGAGTGGCGCCTGTGCCGCCTTGTCGCCCTCCATCTTCGCAAGCCGAGCTTGCAGCTCCAGCAGGAGCGATCCCAGGAGAGCCTGGCGAAGGCTGCAGGTGCACTTGTTCTGCTCTCGGCTCTCCTTCCAGGTGGCCGTGGTCTTGACCAGCTGAGGTATGATGCCCATCGCTCCAGAGTCCATCCAGAGAACCCAACTTCTGTCGGCCTCCAGCAGTTGCAGCGCCATGGCGTGCTGGCTGACATACTTGGTTAGAACTTGCACTTGCTTTGCCAGCTGCTGGTTTGGGGCCGGGATCGGCTCCCTTTTTGCCTGGGCCTTTGCCCTCCCTGCTCCGCCCCTCGCCGTTCTCCTCCTCGGTCGGCCTGTCCCTCATTATGAGTTCCATCGGGCTGTGCTGCCCCCACATGTTCGCCACTTCCTGCAGTGCTTGGTCGTCCATGGCGCGACAGAAATGCGATTTGCAAGAGTGGCAGGCACTTTTGAGCGTGAACCTTCGGGGTTTTGTGGTAGGTCACTCCGCAATGCCGGCATGGTCTAGCTAACGGCAAACCGTGTACCAACTCTGCAAATCCCTCAGCTCGCTTCCAGGCCTCCTTGTGCTGGTTGGCACAGCGTCGCCTCCAGTCCTGTTGATTCGTCAATCGCTGAAGGCAAAGTCCACAGTGCCGTGTCAGCATGTCAATGACCTCGCTGTCTCCTGCCTCCATTTTGCCCTGCCTGTGCACGTCGGGGTTGAGTTGCCTGGCAAGGAACTCATCAGTGATGCAAGTTCTCACATCCCTGGCGACGGGGGCCGTGTCCGGCGCCCCAACCTTATGCCATGCTGTGGCTAAGGCTGTTTGGAAAATAACCGTGCAGCTCCGAGTGTGCCTGTCGGGTTGGTACACCATGACCTCACAAAGGTCGCAGACACTGTCACGGGTGAGGTGAGATTTATACATCGCACACTCAGTGTCCAGGTTGCCAATACTTGCATGCCATATGTGTGAGTGCATTCTCTTGATGTGCTCCTTAACCGAGCCTCCCTTAGCAATCCACTGTCCACAGAAGCCACAGTGCTGAATGAGACTCCTAGCGTGATCTCTGACGATCTGCAGCTTAGAGTCCGACTGCAGTAGTTGCTTCGCCACTTCAGGTCTACGCAGCAACGGGATCGTCGGCTCCTTCTGGGCAGGCTGTACCGGTTGTTGCCGAGCGATGGTGCTCGAGGGATGGGTGTCGTCAAGTATGCATGGCTCCCTGTCTGAGTGACCCCTAGGGGGGGTAGCGATGTCCTGCTGTTCGGCCTCCCGAGTGGGGCCGGGTGGCATCTGCCAGCCACAAACGTTGTTGAGGATGTGATTCCTCAGCGCGTCCCATGAACCCGTCTTAAGACCACAATGAATGCACTGTGGCATGCCACCAGCAGAGTGATCCTGTTGTTGATACATGTCATCATCATGCCGGTGCGAGCTCACATACACCTTGTGGACCCTTCCCCTGTGCTGTCTCATTGTTTTGTTTGATGGGAAGTACACTCCGCAGACTGGGCAGGCCACCGGCTGCGATTGTTGCGCGGGCACCGGGATCAGCCTGGAGTCGGGCTCCGCATCGATGTTATCTGTGTGGAAGATGAGGTATTGCTGTAGCATACTTTCCCAATACTGGAGAGTTTGTGGCTGGTTGATGATGCTCGCTTCTGCAACCCGAAGCTTATCAAGTTTATGCCGAATCCGTTGCACAGTGGCATCTATAGGATCCTGAACCCCTAATCTTTGCCTAAGTTGCTTGTTAGTCTCACGCGAGATGTGGGCAGGTGAGTCCGCAACGGCTCTTAGTTGACGATAGAACCAACCCCTGAGGAGTGCCACCGCCTTGGCAGAGGGCGCGAAAGCAATGAGGCCAAATGTAGCGCTCGATGCAGCACAGGCCTGCCAGATGCGTACTCTATGCGCTAAGCCGAAGACTTTCCTGGACCTGGTCGCCTTTTTGATTTTGCCAGTTCTCTTGTTAGCTTCAGCAATACGGTAGCCTACCACTTTGTGCGCTTCCGTTTGGAGGGAAAGGTGCGTCCCTAGGTATGTAGTGTAGCAGGCAATGGGGATTAGCGCCTCGCTCCCATCAGGGTGTCGCGCCCGCCACCATTTTTTCCCGTCCTTATACACTACATAGTCCTTGAGCGCGCGTCTGGCTCCAGGTCCGCAAACTTTCAAGAGCAGGACTGTTTTGGTAAGGTTAACCAAAAGCCCCATGTCCTGCATGACCCCCAGAAGTTTGTTGATGAAACTGCTAAGTTGGGCAATGTCCGTGGAGTTTTCAATGAGCCATTGCACTAAGGTATCGTCGGCAAAAGTGGTTGCTTGTCTGTGGGGGCCTGAGAGGGCATCCCCCAGCCGCTCCAGCAAAAGGGTCGATATTGCCACCCAAAGCATGGGGGCGATCTTACATCCTTGGCGGATGCCTCGCGTTGTACCCACTGTGCTTTGTTCCTGATCACTGATAATGTGATACCGTGATGTGTCTAGGAGGGAGATAATCTCGGCCGTCATGCTTTCTCCCGCACCAAGGTCTTTTAGCGACTGGGCTAGTGCTTGACGGTTTACTCTGTCAAAGGCCTGTTTGAGGTCAAGGCTGAGGATGGCTCCCCCGACGCAGAGTTTTGTGTTGTCCGGATTTTCCTCCCTGTCCCTTTGTGCGAATTTGCTGCTGTTTCCTCGTCCGTAACACCTTTTGAAGTTGTCAATCCACACCTGCACTCTAGCCAAGGCATCGTACAAATCCCTCCCCGGCTGATAGGCAAACTGCGGCACCCTGCGCAGCTGGGGCCGAATCAGCTCATAGAGTCTGATTTTGAGAAGCCCTGCAAGGGCTTTGGCATCAGGAGACATGAGGCCTATTGGCCTGAGCGATGAGGGCTCGCATGGGTCTTTGCCCGGCTTTGGGAGCCAGACTATCCACGCGTCGGTCCACTGAAGAGGGAGTGTGATCCCTGGTTGGTGAGAATGCTGGTCAAATGCCATCTTCAGCAGCCTCGCAACCTGTGGGGCCGCTAATCGCCATGCAGAAGCAGGAGCTACTCCTGGAGGGACAGCTTTCCCGATCTTGATGGACTTCAGCTGCGATTCAATTTCCTCAACCGTGAAAACTAAGTTAAGACCTTGCTCCTCCCTAGCCGGCTGCTCTGTGTCCGGAGCGAAAAGATCTTCGCTATAGCTCACCAGGGCTTCGTGCTCCTGTTGGAGAGTGAGGAGTCGGCCGTTTGGGTCCTTAATCATGACCCGTTGTCTAGGTTGCCAGGGTGCTAATCTCCGAACAACCTGATACACGGTTCGTTGGTCCCCGTTATCAGCTGCCTGCTCAGCCTTTTGGAGTAGTTGGAGGATGTCTTCGCGCTTCTTTTCTTTGCATTGTTTCTCAGCAATTTTGACTTGCTTCCGCAGGGCAACCGTAGCTTTCCATCCCCGAAAGAGTCTGGATAGGAAGTACCACCAGGGGTTGTTTTCCAGGTTTTCCCTTTCCGGCTCCCTTGGGGGCCGTACGGTGACGTACTCGGCCTCCCTTCGCTTCTGCCATAAGTGCTGCACAATGGGGTTGGATGGAGGGTTGGGTTTCCTCTCCAATGGGTAGTGGTTCTGGCAAGTGTCAAGAAGGGTGGAGTTGATGTTGGCTGGGGTGGGGTCCGTGAGGGCGTTGAGGGCTGTCGTAAGAGCAAGCTGCAGGGTATGTGCCCCCTCCTCCCGATTACGTATCTCGTGATCCAGTTTGTGCCTGTCCAGCTGGGGGTTCGTGGATCTTTTGGGGAGCATGTGATGGTTCATGAGACGGATGGTTGTGTGAAGCGCCATGTGACCGACGTGCCGTCTCCAGTTGCCAATTGGTGGGGCCGTCACTTTGACGTTCTTGGCTTCCCAATCAGCAGATATGGCTCTGGTCAGGATGAAGTCGATTTGGCTCTTTCCCGCCCCCCGCCCCCCCGTTAAATTGTACTGGGTAGGTTCTATAAACTAGTCGTGCTTGCTAGCGGTATAGCCGGAGGCTTCAAAAGGCTACGAGCTTCGCTCCACGCTTTGTTTTCTCTGGAGTGCCGGAAATCCTCACCAACATCCACTCGAGGAAACAGCTAACGATGCACACAACAGGTTGATGGGTGGGACCAAGTTACCCCACCCATGACAGACCGAAGCAACACTTTGACAACACGAGAAAAGGTAGGTGAAAAACACTAAGGTTAACACAGTTTCGCCCCGGTCATTCGCAGCATACTGCAAAGCAAGATATGGCCTGTACGGAGAAGACTGACACCAGACAGCTTTTTCAGCCGCCCATACAAGAAACATGACTGTGCAAGTGTGAACCCAGAAGCCCAGATGGGCTTGCTCCAAAAGAGATGCATACAAGTGAGACTACCTGCAATACAGGTGCTGTGCTACGGCCCGCCCCGAGAGCCCACTTTCTTGTAACGAGGTCTTGATTGTTCTTCAGGCCAGTGCCAGTGAGACAGAGAACCCCAAAAATTGGGGTGGGTGGGTGAGGAAACTTGACTTTCTCGCTAGCAAGCACCACTCTAGAGCCAAAATGACGCACGAACATAGTTTATAAAACATACATGAACAAGTACATGATACGTTCTATAAACTAGTCGTGCTTGCTAGCGGTATAGCCGGAGGCTTCAAAAGGCTACGAGCTTCGCTCCACGCTTTGTTTTCTCTGGAGTGCCGGAAATCCTCACCAACATCCACTCGAGGAAACAGCTAACGATGCACACAACAGGTTGATGGGTGGGACCAAGTTACCCCAAATTAAACTACCCAGCAACCTCGCCCCGGAGAAAACCCCAAACCTAAGTGAGGTTGTTCGGCACTCCCCTGCTCCGCACAGACCATGGAAGGTGAGCCCCTTCGGGGAAAACCGAAATGTTTGGACGAGGCAACCAAAGGGCCTCGAGTGACAGCCGCACTCTATCCTTTTCCAGGCAGTCAGGGGGAACTTCATATTCAGCAGGACGAGACAAGGCATCAGCCTTGACATTGCGTTCCCCGGAAATGTGTGACACATCCAGCGTTGTTCTATGTACAGCTGCCAGCAAAGAAATCCTTTCCAGGAAAAAACAGAGAGGCCGAGCGGTGGAGAAGGAAGCGTTCACACCTGCCTCTGCACCTGTGTTGTCTGATGCGGAACGTAGCTGCAAGGGGATTCTGGCGCAAGGTAAAAGAGAAGATGTTGCCAAGATCAGCGCTCCCTGGGCGAGCGCTTCATAGCAAGCAATATCAAGCTGCATGTCTGCTTGCACTGGAATCTCAAGGGCCCGGAAGGCACTGTAGGAAAAGCTTTCTCGAAACCAACGCTGGCCTATCATGGGGTGAAAAACATACCCACCAATGCAGCACATCGAGCCATGTGCACTTGCATCTGCTCTTGCCTCAAAGGATGCATTGCCTAAGGGGCGCATGCTGCAGAATGGGCACATATGCAAAAGCCAATGTTCGAACAAACCCAAAATGCGCACTGATTCGGTGCTCAACTTTCGCTTCGAACTGGACTGACTTGAGACGCGCATCCAAACCCGCCTGTCTGTAATGCGCACGCGATCCAAGTCAGCCAAAGATGACAAATCCTGATGTCGGACTGACAAAAGTGTGCTGTGGAGCGGAATTGCTGTACCTGGAGGAACCGATTTGAATTGCAGGGAATCCGTCAAGTGGTGACGAAGCTGTGGCCAAACATCTGGGGCCACCGAGTAGTTGGTAGCAACCGGGCTGAAAAGATCATGATAGAAGGTGTACAGAAGCGACTTCATTGTCGGGAAGAGGTGTGCCGCCCAAAGAGCCAGCCCGACAAATCTCTCCAAATCCTTACGGGAAATTTTTGGATTACGCTGAAGATCTTGAACCATCCCCAAAAGTTTTAACCTTTTTTCCTCTGCAAGCGACACTACCCCGGAGGTGTAACAGAAACACCACCCTATCCATTGAACTCGAGAACTAACCTGAAGTTTCTTCCAACTCAAAGGTACCCCCAGAATTTGAAAGAAGAGGCAGATCATCGCCCCTGTTGCTGGCAAGACGGCTTCCGCCTGAGAGAATAAGTAGTCGTCCACAAACAAGTGGCCTGCATGGCTGAACCAAATCAAGATGTGCAACAACCTAAGCAGGCAGGAGCCTAAGCGCCCCCACCAATGCTGTGCAAAGACCGCCCCGAATGGGGCCACGCGATAGAAGTACAGAGAATCTGCGAAAGCGAAACCTAGGAGACCCTGCTCGGACTCCTTGACAACACACCTTTTGTGAGCACTTTTGACATCAAGAGAAATGGCAGCTTGCCGCGAGCGGGTGCCCCGAAGGGGGAAACAGTGCATCACGTCCCTAACAGATGGCATATGCTGGACTTCTGGAACACTGCAACTTGCATTCGTGCCACACACTGAATTATCTAAGACCAACCTCTCAGAACGATTGGGCGCACGGACCACGGAGAGCTTTCCTATTGCCAGTGTACCCGGCCACTTTGCCTTAGCTGCCTCAATGTCGCCATCAAACTTGAAGCAAAAACCCTGATCTAACTCCTCCTGCAGCAAGGCTTGGGTCACGGACAAATCCACTGAGGCCGAGCGCCAATTCTGCATGTGGATGGACAATGATACATCCTCAAGGTTCTCTTTTTGATTCGGCCAAAAACAATTTGACACTGGGATATCGTTGTTGTACCCCGTGGGGACGCCTTGCAACAGGGATTTGCAAAGACTCACATCTGGATCACCACAAAAACAGGCAAGTGCCTCAAGCGCATGCAGATGCAAGGGTTGATGCTCACGGACCTTCCATGTATTTGCATCTGTTGCCACACCTAAGCAGGAGAAGAAGTCTTTGCGCGCATCTTGCACCTCCGAAGCGGTGAAGAGGGGTTCAGGATTAGGCCAAGTGGCTTTAGCAAGCAGGCGTTTGGGGCCCTGCATGTCACAAACTTTCCCCAGAAGGTATGTCCGAAGATTTTTGAGCTTATCCTGGCACAATGGGGTGCTCCAATCCCCACAAGAGTGGCGACCTGCCCCATCGTGGATTACCCACGGTCCAACATCCAGGGCCTTGACAGGTACTAAAGCTGACGCGGTGGCAAGAGTGTGTTCAATCTGTGCACCTGCAAGAAGCGGCCTGATGTGCAACGCGAATTCTTCAGCCAGGCATTGGGGGTACTTAGCGGTCTTACGACTTTTGAACGAACCATCACTCTCACGTCCCTGCACGGACTCATGTGCATTGCGTCCGTGTTGACACGTCTGCCCCATCACGGACAGGGCTTGAAAGCTCGATGCAAACAGCCAAGTTTTTGCCCAGTTCTCCCCAAAAGCACAGGCCGGGAGGACAATGAGGGCTGTAGACCCACAGTGCAACCAGCCTTGAACGCACGATTCTTCCCAGGACATAGCACCTGAAGGTTGCTCCAAATGGCCATGGCCCCCGGCCCCATGGACGATTTGAAGACATTTGCACGCCCTGAAAAGCATCTCGTGACTTGTTTGTATACGAGCCTGGGCTGATGGGGATAGGTTCTCCAGGCCCCCTAGCTGGGTTGGTGTGCGGATGGCAAAGGGCGGACCTCCAAAGAGTTTCAGGCGGGAGTATTCCGAACAGCAAGGGGATGCCGCACAATACCCCACAACACCTGAGCCACAGATGAACAAGAGCTGCTCGAAAAAGGTATTATCGAGAATGTCCATGCTGCTATCCAACAGGATATCAACTGCAAGTGTTGGGAAGCCTAACTCCTGCACCGCTGAAGATAGAGGCTTCTCTGCGCCCGAACAAATGTCCAGGAAGATCCTTGAAGACTGCTGTAGCGCTGACTGAACTATGGCAGGCGAGGATAGTGGTGGGCGAGGTATTTGGGGCTGCAAGATCAAGCGGTGGTGAGCAAACCCCTTTGGAGAAGGCTTTCCCCAATTAACCTCCAAGCTAGGGACTGCCTGCTGAGAAGGGGGGCAGGGTTCGGGTGTAGTAACCGGAGCTGGGGGCTTGGTTCGTGGCTGGGGCCAAGGGAATCCCAAACCCTTAAGTGTATCACCTGACACGCCTGGGAGGGTAAAGGCAGTCAGCACCCATCGATCGCCAAGCCACGGTTGGGTGCAGTGCCAAAGGTGCACGGGGAACTTAAACGGCGCATGATGCGTTGTGACGATCTTGCCCGGGAGAGTCACCCCAAGCTTGGGGATGAACTGCGGTACCGTGCCTGCTTGGTCCTCGACCCAAAGGCCTCCATCCGAGTACGAACCTATCCCCACTGTCAAATTTGACGACCCCGGCAAATTTGCTGTGTCCTTGTGCGGGGACGTCAAAATGTTCCTGCTGACACACAAGGCATTCCAAGTCTCACCTGGGAACAGTTGGCATAAGAACCCATTAAGGCTTGCACACAGTTGTGGGAGTGCATCCGTAACTGATGAACGGGCCGAAGGATTCCCTAGGCGCACCCCAAAGTTCCAGTATCCCGATTCCCCCGGAGCCGCTGAAGTAACGCTCCTGGCAGGAAGCACGCGTGGAGGCCAAGAGGCAGAAAGTAATGCCTGAAGACAGGACTTAAAGTCATGTATGCATGAGGAACCTTCTTCTGCAACATGTGTAACACCCACCTGCCCGGGTGTTACCTCATTCCTGGAACGACCAGGCATGTTGCACGTGACATCACCCAACACGGGTTGTGAAGGGATGTTGCCCTGAGGACATTGCACTGCTGGCGACGACACAGGCCCAGCATTTGTCTCCAACAAGGAGACCGATTTCGGAAGCACATTTACAGGCTCGGCTGGCCGAGCTGCCGGCTGGATATCATACCCAGCAACACGATTTGCACCTGCCTGGTGCTTTGCTGAAAGAGGCTGTTGAGGTGATACTGACATACAAGGCGACAAAGGGTGTGACTGAACTGGCTCAGTGTGAGATTGCAAAGGATGCGGGGCATCTGGGGGTGATACCTCTGTAGACTGCAAATCTGAATTCGGGATTCTTTGCCACGGCACAAGGGTAGGTTCGAATCAGTGAGGCGTCTGTTCATGCTGAGAGGCTGTGTGCGACTTGCTCCCACACGCTGATCCATCCTGCTTGGGGTATGCACATGCATGAACAAAGGGGCAGGAGCCTCCCCTTGTGCAGCGGCCAATCTGCCACTGGACACACAGCCCTTTCTTCTCAGATCCCACTTGGATCTCTTTCACGAAGGTGATGTGTCTCCCTGGAGCGCCCTTGGGCTTACCGCCCTTTTCCTTGCCCCGGCCCTGGCCCTTGCCGAGGCCTTTCCATTGGCCCACCTGCTTCCCCTTGCCTTTGAGATCGGGGCCGCGGGGGATGAACAAGGCTTTCGGACGAGGCTGCAGCAAGGTGCTAAGCTCACCTCTGATTTCAGTGAACTCATGCAACGCGTCATTCAAGCTCCAAGCTTTCTCACTAACTAAAGAATGGATGCTCTGCCAAATCCGACAATCTGCCTGTTGCGCTTCTAGGATTGTCGGTGCACGCAGGCCTGATGTTGGGTCGAAACGCTGGGACACAAGCTGGACAAACTTGCAGCTGTAGGCTTTAAGGCGGGCAAGGTGAGCTGAGCCAACCATGGCCAACGCAACGTCATGCACTGCCAAGATTCGCTGGATGCCACTGATCCCCATATTGGCATCGGTCACTTCGATTGTAGGCGGATCATCAAGGAGCAAGCTGGAAAGACCCAGCATTTCGAGCTTGGGCTGTTTGTGGGGTCTGGCAATTAACAACTCCGAAGCTTTCTCTTCCGTCATGCGATGTTTCCAAGCTATCCATTTATACTCTGAACGTGCCTCCTGATGAGCTGCGAGGGAAATCAGCCTCAAAGAGGGTAGAGTAGATGGATTCAAGACCTCACTTGGGTAATTTGCAAGGAATTGGCGCTTCATATCGGACAGCTTCGTGGATGCAATTTTGGGAGCAAAACTCTCTACCCATGTCTCCAAAGTAGGATCTGCGTTGACAGGGGCCGGTAGAGCACTAGAGGAACTGGATGTTTGCATGCCCGCCCACGCTGCTTTGATCTGGGCTATCTGCAACCGAGACAAAATCTGACCTGGGAAGATCTCAGGGATGGCTCCCTCAACTTCTGCCTGAGTTTCAACAACGTGTTTGAACGCCGAGGCTGTCCAGCCCCCTTCCGTGGCCACTTTGATGACCTCTGCTGCCAAGCCTTCCTTCGCCAGTGCACTCTCCAACTCGGAATCAGCCATTACATGCAAGACACCGCAGGGCTAATGTTGGTGTTTAGCGCTAGACCAATATGTGATTCTTAGATAGGATGACAGAGCTGTGTTCTCGTGAGCTAGATGAGCATGCTAAGCAACGAATCTGACATGTACGAATCTTCCAGGGCGTCTTCTGAATACCACGTGAAACTCTTGCAAGACGCCACACTCCTAAAGATCTTTCCTTGGGGATTTGCTAGCCCAATCGAGCGCCTGCCTGCAGAAACACCAAAAGCATGTCAAGGTCATAGCAACAATCTAACCCTTGGTGGACATGTGCAACATGACAGCCTGCTGTTTCATTGATGCATACGCAAAACAACAACCACACTTTTCTGACACGAACATTCCAGCTCACTCCTCGGAACAACAAGATAAAGCTGCCAAGCATGCACTGCGTCTGCACAACCGACACGAAGATGGCACTGACGTGTGGATCATGAGCCGATCGGCCGGAAGAGTGGCACCACACTTTGCACGCATATATGTCCCATTGACAAGAGTGCCTGACAAAGCATCTGAAGGGCAGAGCACATGCAACACCGCGGTGCAGGAGCCCAGCAAGAATTCCTCAGGCTCACCTAAGTCGTGCTCTTCGGACGGGGGTGCCGAAGGTTCCTCCTCGCTCTCATCTGAAGATCCTGGGTCGGAGTGGTACACGAGATCTTTGTCCAGCGCCTCTATATCTGGATCAGGGGTGACTATTTGATTTTCTGCGACCTCCCAACTCCCATTACTGCTTTGAAGCAAATCGTCACTGCCATCAAGTTGAAACGAGAACCACTGGAAGGGTTCAAACTCGTAGTCCTTACAGAAAGCTTCCGGCGGGATGTACGCTGGTGTCAAGGGCTGCTGCCCTCCTCTGTGCTGGGGGACCAAAAATCGGAAGCCTGTGCGGATGCTATCACGAATGCAAGATTGGCACCGAAGCATGCCATGAACATCATCACGGGAATAAAGAGCGGAGCTGCTTATGCGGTGGTGCCCTTGACGTTTCCTATCAACCTCATCAACATTGACTTGAAGGGACATGGAAAGCATAGTGGCTTTGAGACTATGCACTGTGAAATTGAGGGGCGGTACCTCTGGTGGTGCGGAAGCCCAAGGCATGAGGAGAAAATGCCTCAACCACCTCAGCGCCTCAGCATAGCTCATAGCTTGCAGGGGCAACATGAAGCTGTCGCCTTGCACTGCTGGAAGCAAGAACGATGGAAGCCACGAATCTGGGTGGGTTCGAACATGCATTGTAGCCAACCTGTCAAGGGCATGCAGGTATTTGCTAACCCAAGAATGCGTCCCGCGAGACAGAATACCTGACGCAAGGATGCCCCAGGGCTGCCCGGTGTGACATGTTTTGGTCGCATAACACGTACCACGAAGGACATGTAAGTCAAAAGATAATGAACTCCACTCCACACGTTGAAGATCTGCAAATCGCAATGAACCCCAGGCAGCAACTAAAAAACCACCAAGCACAACCACTTCAAGGAATGATGCCTGCTTCATCAAGATGCGCCTTTCCCACAGCTGGAGCACCCAAGTGGGTAGTGGGAAACTCTCACGGCGTTCACGAGGAATTTTTGACTTCAGAAAAGAATCAATCACTTTTTCATACGCGCACGATAAGATTGTACATTCTGCGACTTTGCATAGCCAACGAAGTGCTTTGATTGTCATGCAACAGCTTGAACCCAGAGTAGGGTCTCCATGCTTCTCAAGGGACATGGTGACTAGTATGTCTGCCATCATAACACTATCAAGATTGCCAAAACAGAGGCCTAGCCCTTCAAGATTCGCCACAAAGTGTGACCAAGCTGCCAGGTAACGGAGCACCGTGTTCGTGGCATACCCGGAAAGAATCCGCGAGGTGTGATGACTGGCAAATTCGGAGCACTGAATCTGCTTGAACAATCCACTACAATCACCCATAAAAACAAGCACACCCCAAAACAGTGACAAGGCCATCTGGGAGAAACCTGCAATCTGCTGGAACTTGGGATGGTGGGGATCGGCCGCCTTTGCTGGCTTTCGCTTCGGGGCAGCTTTCAAGAGAAACGATGAAGTACTTTGCTGCTGTTGGTTGGATTCTGCGAAGGACTGCCGAAACCTGGCAAAGTGTCTGGCTGATTCTTCTTCAGCATCGGAATCACAATTGCTCCTGCTGGATGCCGCAACAGGAACGGGCAGAGGTTGCCCGGCACGTGGAACTGGCTCAATGCGTCGTCCCTGGGAGTACAAAGGTTGGGCAAGACCTGCCGCCGGCAGAGGGGGAGCGGTTCCTTTAGGTTTGTCAACTGGTAGCGCAAGCCCCCCAAGGGGCGGTGGTGCACACTTGCTCTTTGCTTTACTGAAGTGCTTATCATCAGGATCCGTCGGGCGTTTCATCCTGCAACCCTCTAGTCTTCAATCAAGCTTTGCCAAAAACCTGGAGGCCTTGGGAAGCTGGTCTGAACTGCACGCACAAGAAAGCTGAAGCAACTCTCAAGGTGCAAGAGCCGAACCGAAAGGCAGCCGATGCTAGTGGTGCCAGTATGGCCGCGCAGATCCCGACGGACCCTCTGATCTTCTGCTCGATACGATGCAAACGCTCTTCTAAGACTGCAATGTGTGTATGAAGGGCTTCCAACTGGCTCTGCAACTCGTGAACTCGAAGCTGCAACTGATATGAAGAGGCGTCAAGGCCAGCACACGATGCTTCCATGCACTCACTTTGGAGTGAGCCCGCTCACCCCTGGAGCATCGTTCAAAAGGAAAACTAGGCTGAATGCAAAGGTTGCCAAAACACGAACCAAGCACTTTGGGAAAAACATGGATAAGAAGACTTCCCATAAAGAAAGCATGCCATGGAAAAAACTTGACTTTCTCGCTAGCAAGCACCACTCTAGAGCCAAAATGACGCACGAACATAGTTTATAAAACATACATGAACAAGTACATGATACGCGTGGCTGGACCGCGCCATGTGTTAAGGGCAACCAGACCGAGATTATCCAGGAACGTGTTGAGGTCCCCGGGGTCCAGTGCGTCTGCCCCGACATGGAATGGGGTCTGGCAGGTTGAACGACCGACTAATGGAGCATGTGGAGTGACTTCAGCCTGGAAATCCCCCACCACAACCACCGTGTTGCGCATGGAGAGGCCCCTAACACAACCACTCAGTTTTTCAAGGAGTTTAGCCCGCTTTTCCCGCAGGACTTCGGGGCGTTGTGCAAAATTATGTGGGTGCTGATAGCAATTAACCAATTCGACCCTCCCTTGTGCAGTCGAGATCTGTGTGCGCAGGACTCTACCTGGAATCACCTCCTCATGCCGGATGTGTGTTGCTTGGTGTCTCGGATGCACCAAGGTGAGAACACCATCAGCTCTGGCAGCTGTTCCTGAGTGTACCGCAAACCATCCTTCCAGTTTGTATGTGGAGCTTGTGCTAAGGTGCGTCTCCTGCAGGCATATGAAGTCGTATTTGGTACTTTGCTGTTTGAGCAGCTCTCGGAGTTCTTGCCACATGAGGACCGATAGAGCTCCGACGTTCAAGGACAGGACATGAATCCTTGCGATCCCGTGTCTACCTCCCCGCGCGCCTCTTCTCTTATACTGATCCAGCGGCACTCTCTGCGCTGCTCGCACCTGAACATCAGGAAGTTGTGACCGCGTGCACCATTTCCCTCGGTACCAAGCCCCTCCCTGCACTCTAGCTGTGTGAACTGCTCTACGAAGCGCTCTCTTGGATCCCGGTAGGGTGTGCGCATGATCGGCAATGTGATCTGTGGCAGGTGCAGACCGAGCTCCCTGCCCAAGGCATAGGACGCACAGCAGCCTCAGCGCGCGGCTCCATATAGTACAATGTGGCGCTGTTTGTCGATTATGTCGTGAGTGTCGCGTAGGAGGTGTCTCTTTGGCCCGATGCATGAAGCTGTGTCTCGCCACGCCTAGGAGACATGTGCTAAGCAGGAATGCAAATGCACTGTGGAAAAACGGCGTCCTGCCCGGCACATCCATTAAACAATTTTGCGGCTCCCGCACGGGGCCGAGGCTCATCCCTTCTCTCAGCCTTTTAGTCATTTCCAAGTCGTTCCTCCAGTTCCTCCCAGTGCTGGAGGAGCTTATGGGCTCGCCGTCTTTGGTCTGCCGGTCGTAGTGCCCTGAGGTCATGTAAGAAGGCCTTGCACATCTGGGTGGATGTGAGTGCCGGCGCTGCGGGGGACTCTGATGCCTTCTTCGGCTCCTTGTAATCGTCCAGGTCGATGGTCTGGCTGGTGTCCGCTGCACGGAGCACCCATTGCTGAGGTGTCCTCGGCTCCTTCGTGGGGCCGTCAATCTGCTGCTGGCCATCACCAGAGGCCGTCTCATCTGTCCGTTGCCTCTTTGAGGCCGGGGGCACCACTGTCTCATCCTCCGTCTCGCTCCATTCCAGGAGCTCGGCTGCCCCTCTGGGAAGACGATGTCGGCGGATGGGTTGTGGGACCTCAAGGGCCGCTGGCCGTGAAGGCCACCATAGCATAAGCTCCTACTGACTGCTAATTGGCAGCGAAGAGCTGCACTAAAGGCCGATGGTGTTACCTTTTCAGGGCAAGGGATGGCTGCCGTCATGGCACTTAGCTCATGCACTGCAGCTTGTGTGTTCCTGCTTCCATGGAAGTCCATGCAGCAGATTACGCAACTGAGGTACAACCAGATACAGCTATGCAAAAGTTTTGGTGTCCGGCATAAAGGCGCGCCCCCCGCCATCTTCCCACCTGCGGAAGTGCATGCGTTGGTAGCATGTATAGGTCCTTCCCCCGTGGGGGGCCCGGGGGAAACCTTCACCTCACCCTTGCCTTGGAATGTAGTCTTCTTCTTATTGTAGTAGGAAGGGCCGGCGGACTTAGGACCGCCGCGGTGACTGAGGAATTTCTGGTAAACGTCGTGAATTCGGAGGGGTGTATGGAGGGGTCTGCGTTTGTACTTTCCTTTAGTGCGTCTATGCGTTATCCACTTATTGCCCGGCT